AACACTGCTGAGTTTTTGTCCAGCAAGTAGTTTTAGTGCAGACTCCAAAAAGTCAGTTTAGGGGTGTGTAGGGGGGTACAGCTCAGTGGTAGAGTGCGTGCTGAGCATGCCTGTGGTCCTGGGTTCAATCCCCAGTACAACCAAAAAAGTCAGTTTCTACATAGCATAGTTAAACCTGCTGCATTTTATTCCATTTTATTTTTACGGAAAATACTTTTATTGACCTTTTTCTTGTCAACAATTACAGTGAGGATGTGAGTCATTGATCTGGTTTTTCATATCAGTTTTAAAAAAACGAATTTTATCTGCTGCCATGGTGGGTTTTCTCTTACGGGAGACATTTTTTCCCCAGGTAAACACCTGCCCATCCGAATTTGTCACCCACAAAATATGATTTCACTGCCAGTTTTTGTGTCATACGTTTTCTCATTGCGATTTCAGATCTGGTTACTATTCTCCTGTGCTGATTTTTCAAAATGAAGACACAAAGCATCCCTGGGGGGAAGGGGTAGGGTAAAAGCCTCCAGCTTTGTGGACGTCTACCCTAACCGGGAAGCCTCAGGGAAGGCATCTCGGAGGAGGTGACACCTGAGCTGAGTTCTGTAGGACGTGCTGAAGTTTATCCAGGCAAAGAAAAGGGGCAAAGGATTCCAGCCCCAGGGACCTGTTTAAGCCAGGCCTTGTCCCCAAGTCTTGGTGTCTCTGATCCTCCATGTCTCCCCTCCTCCGCAGGGACTCTGTAAACTTGGCTCTGCAGGCGGCACAGACTATGGTCTCCGGCAGTTTGCTGAAGGGTCCACAGAGAAGCTGGCCAAACAGTGTCGCAAGTAAGGGGGTCTTATTTCCCCAGGCCCACCGTCTCCTCTCCAGGATGTGCCCTAGTGGATGCCAGATAGGCCACCGACCTGCTGCCCACTCCCCTGAATCGCTTCACTCTTGCCCCTGGCATCCTTCCCCAGTGCCTCCCCTCCCCCAGGTGGCTGTGCAACGCATCCATAGACACCCGGACCCGGCGATGGGCAGTGGAGGGCCTGGCCTACCTCACGCTGGACGCTGATGTGAAGGATGATTTTGTTCAGGACATCCCTGCCCTGCAGGCCATGTTTGAGCTGGCCAAGGCAAGTGTGGCCCTGACCTCTGGCCTCAGGGTTGGTTGGATTTGGACTCACACAGCCTCCCCTGAGCCTGAGAAATTGGATCTCTGTGTCCTCATTCTGACTCTACCCTTTACTCTTCATGTAAACCGGGGTGGGTCATTTCTCTTTTCTGATCCTCATCTTTCCTCTTCATGCCTTCCAGGCAGTGGGAGGATGAACAAGAGGTCGGTTTTTTTTTTCCTGGGACTCCTGGGACTGAGGTCTTGAAGGACTGAGAGGTGGTACCTAGCATCTTCTGGGCCCGCCCCTCCTTCCAAGTCCCTCCCAGACTCCTTTCCTCCTCTGCTGGACCAACCCTCTGGCTCTTTTTCATCACTAAAGGGCGGACGTATGGGAGGGAGTTTCCAGCAGAAGGAGTCCAGCCCCCACCGCATCCCACCCTAGTCTGATGGAAAGCTTTTGAAAGGGGCACAAAGCAAAGAGGACACTCAGAGGACTCCCATTCATGCTCTCAGGGGTGTTGTTGACGGGGCAGGAGAAACTGCTGCCCACCTTATGCGAGCAGAGCCAAGAGCCGAGAGAGGAAGCTTCTTGGAAGCAGCGGTTTGTTCTCAGTTTCCTTCTGCGCCTGTCCCCTCTTCTCCCCTACCTCCTGCCTCCAGACCCCTGACAAGACCATCCTGTACTCGGTGGCCACCACCCTGGTGAACTGCACCAACAGCTACGATGTCAAGGAGGTCATCCCTGAGCTGGTGCAGCTCGCCAAGTTCTCCAAGCAGCACGTGCCTGAGGAGCATCCCAAGGTGGGGATGGGGGTGGCTGGGAGGGGGCCTATACCACCAGACCGTCAGAGAGGTTTGAAGGAAAGTTAGTGATGTTCAGGTGCTGTGCAGTCTGTGTCTGGGAGGATTTGGTGGAAGATACAGATACATTGAAGAGGATCATGGTCAGTTTCTCCCACTAGGTGGCACTCTGTTTTTTCTTAGTTTTAATATTCTGTGGAGGGGGAGGGGGAAGGGGAGTCAGTAATTTGTAGTCTGAGAGACCAAATGGAGGCCATGATGAACGTTTTGCAATTTACGTGTTGATTTCATGGACATCAGACAGTTGTATTTCACGTTTTCCACATTTATAAAAACTTCATTTTCTGGGATATCCGGGTTTGGGGATCTGCGTACGAATGATGAGAAGAGGAAGGATGTGGTTAAGCAGCAGCCCAGATGTCACAAATCCCCTTGCGGCCCTCCCCACAATGATTCCCTGCACACAAAGTTGTATTTTGTGTGTGGTTTGCATGTGAATATATGTGCATCACACTTCTAGCCAGTAAAGCAGTTAGTTTTTTTTAAATGATCAAAATCATATAATCATGATGCAAAACAAACAAAAAGGGGGACAGTTAGGGAAAGAACATGGCTGCCTGCAATTACATCCTCTCCCCACTGACCACTGTCGGCCTTTTTGTTTATCACCCACCAGAAGCTCTTTTGTTCTGTGCATTTTTTCCTTTTAATAGTTATAATCAGAATGTGGTCATCATTTTGTACCCAATTTGGGAAAAATACTCCAGGGGTTTTCCCCCTTGCTATAACATTCTCTAAATCAGTTTATAAAGCTGCATGGTTTTTCATGCAAGCGAGTGTGTATAGCATGTTCTGCTGCCGTGAAGTTCAAACTTGGCTTCTAGAGATTTCCCATGAGCTCTCCAGCTACTCTAAGGATTATCTATATGGAATATTTAACTCCAGGGCAGACTCTGGGTTTCCAGCAAAACCCAATCCATTGTTATGTCAGCTCTGTCCGCTCTCTCTCCCCTCTCACTCCTGCCCACCTCCCCTCTCTCCCCTCTGCATGCTCACCCTGATGGAAAGCCAGCCTTCTGCAAGATAAGTCACGTATGGGTCATCTAGTGATCTAGTGTTTTGGATGCTCCTTCTATTTCACTCCTCTGTGAATGAAGAGTCTTTGAGATGGATTTCCTTACCATCATTTCATCTCCCCAGGACAAGAAGGACTTTGTAGACATGCGGGTTAAGCGGCTTTTGAAGGCTGGTGTCATCTCGGCGCTGGCCTGCATGGTGAAAGCAGACAATGCCATCCTCACCGACCAGACCAAAGAGCTGCTGGCCAGGTGCGGCTGTGGCAGGCCAGGGCTGGGGGCTGAGGGGCCCGGAGGCAGGAGGCTGGGCAGGGAGATAGAGATACTGGGGGAGTAAGTGAGGGAATGAGCCACTGGGGGCCTGGAGAGGAGACTGAAGGAGGTCAGCATTGAGAAGCGACATGGCAGGTGGGCCATCACAGGTGCAACTGCATTGGGAGGAAAGAGGTCACTGTCCATTCTGCTCACCTGGTTCCCAGGCCCTGCAGTTCCCGAGATGAAAGGCACTGATGTGCAGCCCGATGTGGAGGCAGACAGGCTCACAGTTACAATAAAGTGTAGTGGGTGCCACGAGGAGGGACATATAGAGGGCTGGTTGGAGCACAAGCCGTGGTACCCAACTGGCCAGACTGGAGGGTAGGTGGGTGGGCAGTCTGGAACGCCTCCTGGAAGATGTGACAACTCAGGGGAACCCTGATGAACAAAAAGGAGCCCCTCAAATGCAGTGGAGGGAAGGGTTCCAGGCAGAGAGAACAGCGTATGCAAAGACACTGAGGATGGAGGGAGAATGAGCGATTGAGGACAGGATTCTCCTGGAATATGCCTGGAGCATGAAGTCCTGGGGAGAGAGGGGTGCTAGATGAGACAGAGAGGGAGGCAAGGGCCAGAGCACAGAAGTCCTGAGGTGCCTCCATGTTGAAGTTTCTCCTGGGTGGCGGGTAGCAGGAAGCCATTTGTTATGAGCCTGAACAGAAATAGGGCAGCTCTTTGCAGCTGCATCTGGCCTCATGTCCTCCCCAGCCACTTATGTCCATGGCAGTATCTTCCTAAGGTTAGTTTTGGGGCAAGCGCACAGGGGTGGCACTTCCCAAGGTTTCACTGGGTCTAATCTGTTGGCTCGTGCACTGAATGTCCTTTATCCTTGTCCTCCAGGGTATTCCTGGCACTGTGTGACAACCCAAAGGACCGAGGCACCATCGTGGCTCAAGGTGGTGGCAAGGTAATTGGGCGAGATAAGTTTCTTGCCATTCTAGAAGGTGCTCCAATGGGGAAGAGCACATGCATGTGTGTGTCTGTGTGTCTGTGTGTGCGTATGCTCCTGGCCTGGCCCAAGAATAATGCACTCCCTGCCCCAACCCAACCTCCTGGAATACGGTCATTCAGGGATCTCTGCTGTCTGTGCCCAAAACCAACTTCTGTCTGAATTTATGATGTGGCATGAGATTTACTATGGAATCTTATTTTTCCTCCTTGCTTTTGGAAGGAACAGAGACCTTGGGCTCCGCTAGAGGAGACTTGTTGTCCGGTCCTCATTTGTCCCCTTTTTAGCTGCATAACCTTGGGCAAATTACTTAGTCTTCCTGAGCCATAGTTTCCTCATCTGTAAAACGAGGGGGAAAAAAATCACACACTCTATACAAAAATAAACTCAAAATGGCTTAAAGACTTAACTATAAGACAAGATATGATAAACCTCCTAGAAGAAAACATAGGCAAAATATTATTTGACAGAAATCTTAGCAATGTTCTCCTAGGGCAGTCTACCCAGGCAATAGAAATAAAAGCAAAGGCAAAACAAAAGAAAACATAAAAACCCAAAACCAAATGGGACCTAATTAAATGTATAAGCTTTTGGACAGCAAAGGAAACCATAAGGAAAACAAAATGACAACCTACGGAATGGGAGAAAAGAT